GTCGCCCTAACAACAAGTGACTAGGTTGCATGGGTAATACATCACATAATACTTCATCAACATATCTCCTAATGGAGAATGGAACTACAACCTGCTTAATCACCTTCAGTTCTCCACAATCATTTAACCATTGTAACTTGTCAGATCTTGAGTGCTTTTCACATTTCAAACCCAATTTTTCTACCAAAGTAGTACTAGCCACATTTGTACAACCCGTCCATCAATGATCACGACACAAACTTTTTCACTTATAAGGTATTTTGTATGGAACAAATTTTCCCTTTGTTCTAAACTTTCATCCTTAATTGCATATTAAGAGCTTGTCTAATAACTAATGATTCTCCATAGGTAGCATACTCAATGTCATTATTACAATCTTCTAAAGGTAGCATATTATCACAATCTGAATAAGATTCAGACTCAACATCTCCATTGTTCCTAATAAACATGACTTTCTTATTTGAACATTGTTAAGCAATATGCCTCACTCTCAAACATCTGAAACATTTAATATTTTTATGTTATTAGTAGATATAGATCCAAAAGTATCTTTAAAGTACCTTTAATAGATGATGAGGTACCTTTATCTTTGTTTTTGTTGAAATCTATACCTTTTTCCTTAGAACTAAAGCTTTTCTCCTTGACCTTCTCCTCTTTCTCAGGCCACTTTAGATTCCAATTGCTATTAGAACCAGAATATGACCTTGATGTTCCCTTACTTTTCAATTGCCTTTCTACTTTCATGACCATGTTAAACATCTCCTCTAACTCAACATAGTGATGTAATTGAACTATATCAACAATTTCTCTATTCAAACCACTTAGAAACTGTGCTATGGTAACTTCTTTATTCTCTTCGATATTTACTTGAATCATGGCTATCTCCATTTCTTTGTGATAATTTTCAACTGATTTAGACCTTTGAGTGAGCCTTTGCAATTTCTGATGGAACACTTTATAGTAAAATGATGTAACGAACCTTTTTCTCATGATAGCTTTTATTTGAGTCCAAGTGATGATGGGTGTCTCTCCAATACGTCTCCTAAAGATGAGCAACTGATCCCACTAAACTAAAATATAATAACTAAATTCAATGACTGCCAATTTCACATTCTTCTTCTCAGAGTAGTTATGACATTCAAATATCAACTCCACATTTCACTCCCATTCTAGATGAGCTTCGACATCATTTCTATCTTGAAAAGAAAGAATTTTTATCTTGATAGAATTAATGTTGCTGCCCCTCCTTTTGGGTTTTCTTTTTACCGTTGACTCTTCACTATCTTCATCTACTTATCTTTCTATCTCGTCATCATTCAACATATTTTCTCTT